GAGCGTGTGTTTGCCTTGGCTCCACTCGCCTTAGACAAACCCGAGCCCAGAGGACTTGTTTGCCGATGAAAAGGCCGCTCTGTGGTGGGCTGCAGAGAGCGAGGGGGAGTGGGTGTGGGGGGGCAGGGGGGGTCCCCCAGGAGGGCAGCCACTTCTGCGCCCACAGGGAGAGAGAGGAAGCCTGAGGCCCAGCACGCCCGGTGGGTTGGGCATCTGCCCCCCACACACCGTCTCTCTCCGGGACAGAAACTTCCACCCGACCTCACCTGGGCCGGGCCCACCGGGGCCATTGGGACAGCGTTTTCTCCTCCTCGTCCCCTGAGCATCGGGGAGGAGCCGTGGATGAAGACCATACAGGAAACCTCCCCACAAAGGGGCGAGGGGCCCAGGCCTCAGACGCCCTCCGCCCGGCCTGTGCGCTGGATGATACGATATTTTCGTGCTCCTGTATTTTATTGAAGATAAACGATGTTCTTCCGCTTGCTGCTGGTCCCTGTGCGCTGAGAGGGAACAGAGGAAACTTTCTCGCTCTGTCCGAGTTCCCAGCGAAGGCTGAGTATGGTCTCCGCTAGAGGTCACAGCTCATCCATAGAGGTCACGGCTCATCCCCGGGACCTGGCAGATGGGCAGAGCCTGAGGGAGGGGCACTGTCTTTTATTTAACTTTAATATGTATATTTTATATCGATTTCAGAGCAGGAGGGAGAGGGAGAGAGAGAGAGAAACATCCGTGATGAGAGAGAATCATGGGCTGGCTGCCTCCTGCACACCCCCACACTGGGGATGGAGCCCGCAACTGGGGCCTGTGCCCTGACCAGGAATCAAACCATGACCTCCTGGTTCATAGGTTGAGGCTCAACCACCGGCTGGGCCGCAGGACCTCTTCGAGGTGGAGTTGTGAGGTCCTGGTTGAGGATGCGGGGATGGGGGGAAGGGTCACCTGGGAGGGAGGGGCGGGGGAGGGGGGGCCATTCAAAGTCGCCCGAGGGCTGATTGGCTCTCTATTGTGACCCAAATGGCTTCCCTGAGGGGCCTGGAGCCCTGGGCCCAGGGCGAGCTCCCGCCCCTCCCGCCCCTCCCCC